GAGCGCCGTGGGGTTGTTTGTGTGGGGGGGGGGGGGGGAATCCCCAACCACACATCATCTTTCTTCTCTTTTAATTTAAGTTTTACACTAAAACTCTGTTTTGAGAGGGAAGTGGTGCGTGCCAAGCTAATGACAGCTTTTCCTTGTCTTATTTTTCCCGTGTCAGAGCAGTGGGCTCCTTCCTCTCAGCTCCTTGGAGTGCTGGGATATTGGAAGTTCTGCATTAATTAAGTGAAACCTCCAAACCGCTTGAAAAAAATGAAAACAAATATCCGGCCCCAAAGCAAAGAGGGGTCGAGATGAAACCGGACTAAACGTGTCAGTAAACAGGTTGACTTTCAAAGGTACAGTTTCTGCGACGACGGCCAAACCCACGTTGCCGGGAGACTGTTAGATGCGTCCGGCTGAAAAAAGCGCTTGGCTCGTCAGTGACAGCCCTTCGGACCCACCCAGGCCGACCCACCAGGAGGATGGCGTGCGGGGACTCAGTCTCCATTCTTGAGGATTGGAAACCGGCGATCCACCGTGAGCTCCAAGGACAACTGCTCATCAGGTCCCGACATTTCCCAAGCTCCTCCTAATTCCCACCTCGCACCTACATAGTTTGGTTACATTCTTTTCCTCCACTGCACCCCTCTTTGAGCAGAGGATGCCACGACTTGGGCGGAAGGGCCGACATTCGGCCGGGGGATCCTCGGGGCATTGGGTGTAACTCCCCAGCTCCCAGGGCTGCAGAGGCGAGACGATGCGCGGCCCGGGGCGGCGGCGGCGGCAGAACTCCCAGCCGTGGGGGCCGCGGTGCAGGTCCCCGCGAGACTGGCCGCGGGGCTGATCCCTCCCTCCTTCGCGGTGAATGAATGATTAGTTCAACGGCAGCATCTCCCCGCCCCGGTCCGCCTGAGGTTGGAAGGGAGGAGTCTCGGAGCGACCGTTCCTCTTTTTTTTCGGGGCGAAAAGCGTTGGCCTCGGTGCGTTTATCAACCGATATTGCGTGTCGTTTCAACGTCTGTCCTCCCTAGAGTCAGGACGCGCAGACACATAAGCACAGGGCACTGATCTCGACCACTCTGTCCGCTCAGCCCCGGGAGTTCGCTGTCGTGCCCCCGCCAGAGGGAAGCAAAGCAGAGAGTGAAAAGTTGCGGGAGCCCTCATGCGCCCCGCTCGTCGCTCCTTCCCAAAGCCGGGGCACCTGGGAGCAGGCGGGGTGGTGGGTGAGGCGCCCCTGCACCCCACTTTTGCTCCTTTATAGGGTGGGGGCACCCGGGCGTGAGCAGGGGTGGTGCAGCATCCCCGTTCGGGGAGGGTCCCCCCGGGAGAGGGAGGAGGCCCCGCGCGCGCCAGGCGGCGGAGACACGCCTGCCCGGTTCCGACCCGCGCCCCGGGGCCGGCAGCCTCCCTCGAGGGGCTGGGGAGCCGGCTGGGCTCCCAGCTGAGAAGTCTC